CTAATTAGAATTAGCAGTTATAACCTACGTATTTTATTATTTTAAGTTTAGTTACTATTAACTGTCATTATTTTAATTCTTATTTAACATCACTATTATCTATAATTACTACAGATTTTTAAGAAAAGTGGTATTATTTTTAGCTTTGGTATTTATATGGCCCCAAAAATCATCAAACTAAATACTAAACTACAACACACATATAAATTCTAAGAGTTACATATATTATATACACTTAAAAATACTAACAGGGGCTTTTGAAGCTGCAACTTTAACATATTTTTTCATTAATCCAGAGAGCATTGGGAGATATAGTTTGTCACATAGCATCATTACAGCTTGTAAGAACCTACATATTATAATCATGGGAACATAGAATTTGGGAACTAGAATACCTTAGAGATTAAGAATTCATACTAATCTAGACATCATCGTATCTTGCCTAAACTACTGGCGGTTTATTCACAACCAATGCTTTCCAACATACCTATCATGTTCCCATCATCTATCCATCTGCCAAAGGCCTCCTCAACAGTTTATAACCAAAATTATCGTGTCGCTAATGCTTAAAGAACAAAACGCTATTTCCCAGGTATGAAATTTGCCTTACCAGTTTCCCCTCCAAGTCCCAACTCAATAGGCTGTGGTTTCAACAGCTGCACCTGACCCAGTATGTACCTCATCCCACCACCATACTTTTCTAATGGTGTCTTCTGCCTAGAATTAGACATTATGTCTAATTATACATAATAGAATGTCTTCTAATGGTGTCTTCTGCCTTTCCTTCTTTCGCTATAAAAATTCTACTTAAATTTCAAGGCCCAGCTCAAATTATACCACCTATGGGATTTTCCCTTTCCCTACTCAAATATTAATTGTATTTCCACCCTGCATTCCTGTGCAAAAATATCTATGTTATCATCTAATATAACTTGACTAAATGTAGTGTACCTCCTCCTCTCTCCCTCATTAGATGGTAAGTTCCCTGGTGCAGGAGGAATAAGACCTTCACTTCTCTCCCTCCCACTGAGTACCTTGCATATAATCAGTACTCTACAAATATAAATTAAATTAAATGAGATACATTCACTCCTAAATTAGAAATAATCTGGTTTATTAACATAAAATTAAAAATCACTTTCTCTATAACTCTAAGTAATTCAAATACAAAGTATAATTTGATGGTAATTTCACATATTATGTATTTACACATTTAAATATTATAATAATCAGAGGTATTTTAAAATGTCTTTTGGGGTGTCTGATTGGCTCAGTCACAGGTTAAGCACCAGTTCCTGATTGCAGCTCAGGTCATGATCTCAGGGTCCTGAGACTGAGCCACATGGCTGGCTCCAGCTTGGGGGTTGGGGGGGGGTTCTGCTTGAGAATTCTTTCCCCCTCTCTCCCTCTTTCTCTCTCTCTCCCTCTTCTCCTCCCCCACCACTCTCGTGATCTCCCTCTCTCTTAAATAAATAAATCTTTAAAAAAAACTTCTTTCTATTCATCAGTCTGAAGCACTTTGAACTCTTAAGTGAAACATTTTCTTAACACAGACTAGCAATGTTTTCAGTGCATTTAGGAAGAACAAGACATGAGCTCTCCAAACCCTTGCAACAGGAAAGAATTCTCAGAGATTTTGGGATACTAGATCTAAGAGCTTTGGAAATAAGTCTTAGAAACAATGAGTGTGTTCCTCCCTCCAGAATGCAACTGAGTGAGTGGCAAGCAACAGCAAAATGGGAAAGAAAGTGGTTCCTGGAGATAGAAAAGCTAGGAAAATGTGTTTGGAGTTCACTGGAGCCAGAGCCTCCTGATTTCTTACTGATCCTGCCACCTATTGGCCAAATTATGAAACAAGACACTGCAAGTGACATGGAACTCTAGCTGTTATAGTAAGATCAATCAATAGTTACTAAGTGTCATTAAAATAAATGTCTGGAATATGCTATGATGCTTAATTGTTCCTTTAAATGTCCTTTTGAAAAATAAATCTTGGAGTGCCCGGGTGTGTCAGTGGGTTGGGGCCTCTGCCTTTGGCTCAGGTCATGATCTCAGGGTCCTGCAATCGAGCCCCGCAACGGGCTCTCTGCTCAGCAAGGAGCCTGCTTCCCTTCCTCTCTCTCTGCCTACTTATGATCTCTGTCTGTAAAATAAATAAATAAAATCTTAAAAAAAGAAAGAAAAAGAAATCTTAGTAAAAGTAATATTACTGAAAGGTGTTCCTGACCTGCTTTGTACTCAAATACTCAAAATTAGGAAAGTAATAATATTAGTATCACACATAAAATTCAGAGAATCTGAGCTAAGAAGAACTGGAATGCAGTGTTCTTAGCAGTGAGTAGATGAGAGCCTTTATGTAACTTTTATTAAGTTTTAGCACCTGTAGTAAGAATTGCTTCTATTGTAAACTGACTGGCTCTACCAAGTGCTGGAAATTCTCTTCCTGAATTAATAGCTGTATTAAGTGTCAACAACTAAAGCAAAACACAAACACACACACACACACACAGCATCATGCTAAATGAAAGGGAAAGGGGAATTAATATTTGTTAAGTGCCTACTATACTAAAAACTGTGCTGGGTGCGTTGAATATATAACCTTATTTAATTCTCACAACACTACTAGATAAACATTAGTCTACTCATTTTATGGATGAGAAAATTCAGTCTTAGAGGTTACAAGTATTATACCTGGAATGAAAGTTAAGTGTGACTCCATTTCTTAAGGCTTTTTCCACCATATCACACTACCTTTAGAAACTCTCTAATGGATTTTATACTTACCTCTACGTCTCAAAGGTCATTTTCTTCATTTGTAAAATAGAGTCCAGACTAATCATTTCTATGGTTCAGACTAACTCTGAAATTTCACAAAATCTATGATTCTTGTGGGACTCAATACAAATACATGGATAAGTAAAAGAGCAACTGCTCAATATAAAATGTTCAAAGAACTAGAGGGAGATGGTCACAGAAAAGTAAATAAAAATTGCCTTTGAATGTAATAAAAGCTGTTCACCTTCACTCTGAATGTAAAAAATTAAAATTATAACATGGATGATTTACCATTTTCACCTCTGAGATGGATGAAGATTGCAGGGAAACAGATACTCATATATATTTTAAGTGCCACTATAGACACAATTTCTTTGGAAGGCAATTTGGTAATATATATCAAAATTATAAATGTATACAGCATTTTATCCAGGAATCTCACTTCTAGACTTTGTCCTACAAATAGAGCTTATGTGCTCAAAGGTATATGCAGATACACATTCACCACAGTGTTGCTTGAAATACCAAAAGAGGCTGGAATTAATCTAAATACCCATTCACTGGGGACTGGTTCAATAAATTAGGATAAGTCCATACCAACAAATTCTACGCAGTTTGCCGAAAGAACGTAGTAGATGAACACAAGGTATTATGGATAACATCCAAGTACATAAAGTAAAAACAGCAAGAAGTATAAAAACAAAAAATGATAAATATACATATGCATCTAGAAGCATGGACTATTTCTAGGAGGCAAGATGAGAAATTAGTAAATTGTGGTTTTCTCTGGGGAAGAAGCTGTAAATCTGGGATTGAAGGGATAAGCTTATTATGCTCCCTTTTATTTTTTTTTTCTATATATATACTGTGATATAGGCATTTTTACCTTTTTTAATTTAAAAAAAAGTGTTTATAACAAATAGTCTCTGGAGTCACTGAAGAACCCTTTTAATGTGAAGGTTACTTATAAGAAAAAAAATGAACTAATGCCAGGAATTTTTGAAATGTCAGATTTCTTCTAATTACCTCTATTTCTGTGTGTGTGTATGTGTGTGAACTTCAATCTACAAGCAACAGCAAATATAGCACAAGCACCTCCAATGTGCAAGATATGACAGAAGGTCTGAAAAGGAGTATTATTCACCTCTCTCAGTCTCTCTTTCTCTCTCTCTCAATCTTCCAAAATTCATATTCTCACATTCTAGAGCATGTTGTGACAAATCATAAAAATGAATGGTAAAGCTCCCAATTCCAAGGGCTTGGGCATATGGAATATATTAATTTCTTAGTTGTGGAGACTCATCCAGACCGAAAATATCCTATGCTTATTTGAACTATCAACTCTGCAGTATTTGTAAAATAGTACTTAAAATACCAAAAATTCACAAATCCTAATAATTATGAGATTGAGAAGTTACCTATATAGTATCAAAATTACGTGTAAAATTCACAAGAGGTTAAGTATCTAATCATAAACAAAGCACTCTATTTTCAAATCAGTAAAATATACTTATTAGGTACCAGATTTTTATTTTATTCCAGAAAATTTGTTTGTAGGAAAAAACTATAAAATTTCCTAGAAAAACAAACTGATAAGTAGTATAAATGTAAGAGGAAAGACTATGTACTACTGGCCAAATCTCATTCCAATTTCATGAAAATTTCTGGGCTATCAGTATTCTGTTACATTGTTTTCCCTTACATAGTAAATTAACAAATTTATTTCCTCTACTTCTCAGTAAAAATAATAACTATAATAGAAGGGTATACCTCACATATTAAACAATAAAAACAAACCAACATTTTCAGATGAATAATAATACTTAATGAAAAACAAGACTAAAAGGAGTGCTGCCTGGGTGGCTCAGTCGGTTAAGCTTCTGAATTCAGCTCAAGTAATGATCTCAGGTCCTGGGATTGAGCCCCATATCACGATTACTGCTGAGAGGGCAGTCTGCTTCTCCCTTTCCTTCTCCCTCTGTCCCTCCCCCACTTGTGCATGTTGCACACTCTCTCTCTCGTGCTCTCTCTCAAATAAATAAAATCTTAAAAATAAAGAAAATGAGCTATCCTTCTTTAGTTGCTGGGTAAAATCATCAGTTTATGTTTGACTCTGTCCAGGGTGGACAAATTATACATGTATATATATTACTTGAAAATTTTAGCAAAGCACTGAACTCAATATATCAGAATAAGAAATTTATATTTTTAAAAATAAGATGTACCTTTCATCTGGGTAGCAAAATTCAGTGCCAATTTTGCAAAGAGATCTGGATTTTCAAATTTGTCCTCCTTAACTTTTAACCAGAAACAGTTCTCAGATAGTTCTTTGGGTTCAATCTGAAACAAAAATAACAAAGATAAGTTTCTAAATTATTACTTCATATTTAATTCTTCAAAGAATTCAATTTCACCAAGATCAAATGATAGTTGCTTTATTTATCTACTTACTAAATCAATTTTAGGATCTATCAAAATAAGATTTAAGTAAATATTCATTGGGGACATCCCAGAATTCTATCAGTGTACAGGAAAGTTATACAACAGCAATTAGCCATATAGCAAATTACATTTAAGAAAGCCTTCTATTGGAAGGAATCTTAAAAATAGTTGAGTAAATCCCTCCCCAACACACATACATTTTTTTTCTGCTCTTGGATTTTTAAAAATGAGGAAACTAAAATTCGGAAAAGTGAATTAATTCTCCATGTTTACTGACCAGGGTGAAGGTAATAATCATAAAAAATCTAGCTAACATCTTATATTCCTCCTATAATGTGTCAAGTGATTTTCATATATTACTTAATCTAATCATTATAATAATCCCTTGAAATAGGACCTATTATTATCTTCACATTAGAGATGAGGAAACCGTGTCCCAGAAAGTTTAAGTGGCTGTCCAAACTAGCAAAGGGCAAAGATGGGAATTAAACCCAGGCAGTGTTGCTCCAGAGAACTGTGCTCTAACTACTACAGGGAAACCGAAGATTAGAACTGTATATTTTCCAGTACATTATGATGCTTTGTGTTATATTAGTACCATTTCACTGTATGTTTAAATACTAAATGAACGTATCATTAAACGTTTATACAGAGACAACTAGGCCAATAGCACCTGGATCCTATAGTTTGGTGGAATGTACCTAATAAACAATAACTACATTCTAAAAATGTTAGTATCTCATTTACCCTTATAAGCAAAGCATGAGTATATATTTTTTTTAAAGATTTTATTTATTTATTTGACAGAGAGAGATCACAAGTAGGCAGAGAGGCAGGCAGAGAGAGAGAGGAAGGGAAGCAGGCTCCCTGCTGAGCAGAGAGCCCGACTCGGGACTCGATCCCAGGACCCCGAGATCATGACCTGAGCCGAAGGCAGTGGCTTAACCCACTGAGCCACCCAGGTGCCCGCATGAGTATATTCTTAACTAAAAACTGGTTTAACCATGATTCTGGTCAAACCAACTTACTATGTAGACACTGTCACATTTCATTCTAAGTATGTTCTTGGATGAGTCATTTCCCCAAACTGTGGTCTGGAAAATTGTATTTTTTTTTTCCTTTTCCCTTGATTTCAGGTCAGGCCGTAATCTCAGGGTCATGAGATCAAGCTTCGTATCAGGCTCAGGCATGGAACCTACTTAAGGTTCTCTCTCCCTTCCCCTCTGCCTCTACTCTCCTCACATTCTTTCTCTCTCTCTCTCTCTCTCTCTCTCTCTCAAAAAAAAAAAAAAAAAGCAAAATGACATCCAAAAGAAAAAAATCGCTTTATATATTACATAAAAAATAATTATGTTATATCACTACAGAATGCTGCCACCTATTCCACACTATCTAAATATTGAAAATTACAACAAGAAAAGGGTGCCTGGGTGGTTCAGTTGGTTAAGTGTCTGACTTTAGCACAGGTCATGATATCAGGGTCCTGGGATTGAGGCCCACATCATGCTCTAAGCTCAGTGAGGAGTCTGCTTGTCCCTCTCCCTTTCTCCCTCTCACTGCTCACGCTCTCTCTCTGATAAATAAATAAAAATCTTAAAACAAAAAAACTAGAACAATTTTTTTTCTAAAAACAAAAATAGCTATAAAAAGGCTCAAAAATAAAGATTATATTTAAGAATGTTATAGTACTGGGGCGCCTGGGTGGCTCAGTGGGTTAAAGCCTCTGCTTTCGGCTCGGGTCATGATCCCGGGGTCCTGGGATCGAGCCCCACGTCGGGCTCTCTGCTCAGCAGGGAGCATGCTTCCTCCTCTCTCTCTGCCTGCCTCTCTACCTACTTGTGATCTATCTGTAAAATAAAATCTTAAAAAAAAAAAATAAAAAAAAAATAAAAAAAAAAAAGAATGTTATAGTACTTAACAACACTACAAGAACCAAAATCATGTTTCATTTAGTGATATATTTTATATGCTATTCTCTAGCACCATTTTCACTTTGGTTTTCCTTTCGACTTCTACATTAATTTCCAATTATCTATGGAGTTTCCAATTCGCAAGGTACTAGACTGAAAGATAAAAATATGATGGTGAACTCACAAAGGAAAGCATGAATCGGCAGTCATCTTCTCAAGCATTATGCAATACTTATATGCAGCAATAGTTATTCACATATTAATGATCAACTATGACTGGAAAAGCCAAAAATAATATAGTCATAAAAATAACGGGTCAAATAATCTAGTCTAGTCATAGCCATAATCACCTTTGACCAATTGATTCTCTTCATAGGCACCTCAGGTTTATATAATTTTTTCTGCTTCATCCCATAAGGCAGATCAAGAGGTACTTCTGGGAAAGGAGGAATTCCTCCTCCAAGGGGAAATGGAGGAGGAGGTCCCCCAAGCAAAGGTGGTGGTGGTGGTATGCCAATCATTCCAGGTAAAGGAGGTGGAGGAGGAGGGAGAGCTCCTCCAGGTAGCGGTGGTGCTGGTGGAGGTGGTGGTGGTGGTGGTGGGGATGACCCACCACCTGGCAATAGAGGTGGTGGAGGAGGGCCTGGAATTCCTGATGAACCTGAGAGTCCATGTCCCTGAAACATATGTAATACAATGTTTAAATGTTTATAGTAAAATATAACAATAAAGAAACTTATCAGTAGACATTTGGGGTTTAAAATTATATACACTATATTTAATTTAATAACATCAAAGGACTTAATAGTAACTGAAAGAGGCTACCATTGATTTTTGATAAGCATTATAAACTCTATACAATGACTACTTCTGCTAACACACTGTAAAAGTTGGCATCCTTAAAGATTTTGTGAAACACTCCTCCAAAATAATGAAAAAATTACCTTCCATTATAAATATATGCAAAGAAGTACTGAAGTGACTTGAACCTATCAGAGTAGCTGGTTTGAATATGGAATAATTAATACAATCATAGATCTGATTCCCTTGGAGCCCATTAGCTTCACATAGAGTCTATCTCATAGCACTACTACCATAGCAGTCTTCTAGCACCATTAATTAATACTGAGTAACATACATTTGTGTGGTAATATGTTTATCAATGTTTCTACATCTATTACTTCTTTTCATTGTTATTATAACCCTGAAATGTAAGTAGGGCATTTTTATCTAAACTTTATCTCACTGCTTATAGATGAGAAAAACGTAACTACAAAAACGTTAAATGACTAATCAAAGGTCGCAGAGTCTGAAATGAGGTTAGGATTTGAATGTAGTTCTTCTCATACCTAATGTACTAGAGCAGACTATTTCCTCATGGAGTCACTTGCAATGAAAAGAATTAATTCACACAAACTGGATTATGAGGACTTAACTTCTTACTTACTTCTACCACCAGAAATTAACTTCAACCTCATTCTCTAATGATAATGGGTAACAAATGAAGGACAGCTTCTCATTCCAAACAGTCTACTTTTTAAGTTAATCTGTACTTGTTTCTTTAAACCATTACTGGTCACAATGGTTCACTTCTAAAATAAATGAACATGAAAGTGAACTTGGTAATTATAAACATTCCTAAGAAAATCCTAACAATGAACAGATGTATTCATAATCAAGATATGACATTAGATAAAGTGAATGAAAAGTTTAAAATTATAAGATTTCTTGGCATAATGCTATTTTTATTTGGGGGAAAAAGTCTTCTTATCTTTACTAATGTGAATTTCCAAGTTGGAGTACTTAATTAAACTAACTAAACTTGGGAATAGCTTTACAAAATAAAGTTGAAGCATATTTTAAGAATAATCAATTTAAAGGACTGACCTATTTATAAGATTAAAAATTAACAATCATAGAATCATGGAATTCTCTTACTATTTAATATGAACTGTCCAAATATTTTATTAATATTTATGATGTTTATGTGTGTATACACATATATGCAACTGAAGTATTTTTACACTCAACAAATGATAATCTTCCCCTGGAATGCAATCCTGTCCTGAAATTAGTAAGAAATACAGTATTCAAAATTATTTTCATTTATTTTAATGCAGCAAAATTACAGGAAACATTTTTACAATCTGGATTGAGATCAAAGAAATTGTGGAGAAAATCAAAATAAGTTTTCTGAAAAGTTTTAGAAATTAGAAATGACAAGTTTTATTTATAAATGGATATGCTGAATACTTTGAAAGGTAAAATGTATATCCAGTTTTGTATTAAAAGAGAGCAAAATTATAAATAAAATCTTTAAAAAAATAAATAAAAGAGAGCAAAATTATATTTGTTAACATCAAATTTTTACGCTATTAGATCATATCTATGATACGAAACTTGTGGAGCCATAAGAATGCTATCACTTTTAACAGTTATTCAAGTTAAATGCATGTTTCACAAATTTAATAAAGAATATCATATAAATGCCACCAGCCTTTAAAAATCAAATCATTATTAGTCATTCTCTTCCCCCTCATGAACAATTAGAAAAGCAACAATTAAATTAGGCTACAGTAGAGTATTGAGAATTCAATATAGCTAATGAGTAATTTAGTATTTGGCACAATTTTGGGCATGCTAGAAAAGACTGTGTGACTCTGCATTTTTACAGATCAGTTAAATTAATAATAAATAAGCAACCACTCACGAAATAGTAAGGCCCTGTACTAGAGTGACATTGAGAAATGTCACCACTTCTGGTTGGAGGGAGGCAAAAACAAAAATAAAAACTGAGTTCTCAGAGATGTGGAAAGGGAAGTCAGATTATACAAAAAAGGATAAAGATTTAATGAAAAATTATCAAATATTATAGATAAGTGAAACAGACTAAGGGAAGCAAAAGGCACTGCACTGAATAATTTGGAGTTCATCAGTGACTTCTGAAGTCATTTCTCAGTAGACTGATGGATACAAATGTAGTCAATCAATAAATATCTATCCACTAAGCATGGAATATGTAAAGAGGTGTTGGGAAAACAAAACAAACAACAACAACAACAACAACAACAAAAACACAGGCCCCAAATGGCATCAGTTAGGCTGATTCCCCAACCAGAGATTAATACATAATCTAACTGCAGTTTCAAGAAACAGTCTTTAACAGGTGAATCAGGAACTTTCAAATCAGGACACCGTAAGTCAGCCACAGATGTCCTCTCCACCAGGCCCTAAGGGAAAGTGGCAAGGGACTAAATGATCTTTTCCTTTCCCTAATAACTTGTTGCCCTACCCTCTTTCCACAAAAACCTTTCATTTTGTACAACCCCTTGGAGTTTCCCTTTGCTTACTAAACGGAATGATGCCAAATTCATAAATCATTTAATAAGGCCAACTAGACCATCAAAACTTATGTGGTTGAATTTTGTGTATTAATGAGCATTTTTTTCTTCCATTTTATTTTCTCAATCATTGTTTTCATCAATGGGCTTTAAAGGTTAAAATGCATGGTAAAAACTAAAAAGAAAATGCATACATAGAAAAAGGACATTTTTCTCACCAACACTGGTAATCTCCATTTCTTAATAACCATTTAAAACATTAAAAGTGTGAGGGTATTTAAAAATAAAAATAAATAAAAAGTGTTGAGAAGACTTAATCAGTTCTAAAGTTTAGAACTTGAGTGTATATGAGTGCTTTTCATCATAGGTGATGCAGTAAGAAATGCAAAATTTCTAGGTTTTGAAATTATGCATCCAATTTTTCAAACTGTCAAAAAATTTTTGTCTCCGGAACAGTATTGCTTGTGTAATATAGTCCATTAAAACTATTTAGGGAAGTTTAAGCAGCTAATACCTTATTTTTATCCAAACAGTAAAATTAGTTATTGTCCTGGAAAATTAAATCTGTGGAGTTAGTTCAACTAAAATGCAAAACTGCCAGAAAGTCTGGTTCTGGTCACATTTTAACCTCCATCTAACAAGATAATTTTCTACCATCAAACTCACTGTGACATGACATAAAGTCTGTATCTTCATTCATTACCTGGGCTCGAAGTTGCTGGATTTCTGTTTCAAGCTCTTTAATTTTTTCTTCTCTTCTTTGAAGCTCAGCTTGAGCTTCCTGTCGAGCTGTAAATTCTTCATCAAACTGCAATGATCACCACCATAAATGTACACTTAATAACACAGTTTTGAGAAAGTTTTAAACAACTTTATGTATTAAGTAAGTGGAGTGTCTTTTGCTTCACTGAATTCCCAGGTCATTCAGAAAATCAAAGCTCCAGATCTCTTTCATAAATAACACTTAAGCACACCTGTTGGGTGGGTTACTGATTATGGTGTTAGTAAGGAGGAAATATGGCAGCAACCCAAGGTTAAAAAACCCATTTTCAGAAAACAAAAAAGAAAGAAAGAAAAAAATTATTTTTCTAAAGATTTACTCATTTATTTTAGAGAGAAGAGAAAGAGACAGAGAAAGGGTTTAGGGAGAGGCAGAGAGAGAGAATCTTCCTGCAGACTTCCAGTGTGCACAGAGCCAGACTTGGGACTCCATCTCACCACACGAGACCATGACCTGAGCCAAAACCAAGAGTGGTACGCTGAACCAAATGAGTCACCCAGGCACTCCCCAAATAAAATTTGAAAAGGGTGGACTAAGAAGTTTCTCTTCACATATAATGGGCATTTATATTGTTTTGTTATTGAAAAAAGGTTTCAGAAATATTTTCTCAAATGTTTCATCCCATACATTTAACTTTATCAAATTACAAAATGAAACCTAAAAATTCACCATCAAGCAGTTCAACTCTGTAACTATATTTAACCTTGAAAAGGGAACATACTTTTACAAGGCTCAAATGATTGTACATTAATACAAATTATAATACTTCTATTACAATCTTAATTGTCTAGCATCCCGAAAGTGGTATTTCACAAAATCTGATGGTAGAATGATGTATGTATAGCCTAAATAGAATTCTCCTTCAGATGCTTAACCAAAACACTTGCATAAAATACTAAAAGAGAGAAAATGAAAGGTTAAATTATGATGTATTGGGGGTAGGAGCTAAGATGGCGGAGGAATGGGGGAAACCAATGTTTGCCTCATCCTTCAAATACAACTACAATGAATATCAAATCTTTCTGAAGTCAAGAAATCATTAAGAGGACTGACAGACCAAACTGCACAACTACAAGTTGAGAAGAGCCACACTGTGGAAGGTAGAAGGTGCAGACACGTGATTTAGGGTAGAAAAGAAGTGCGATGCTGTAGGGGGCAGGGAGCCTAGATCGTGGACAGAGGAAACAGAGTGAAAGAGAAAGGGGGGTGTAAGCAGTGCAGAGGGGCCTGCACACCAAAAACACTTCCCCAAAACCATTCACTGAGAAAATAAGAGGGGCTGATTATCGTGAGTTTTTACAATCAGCAGAGCCAAAATACTTAAGTTTTAAAAGTCCACACCATAGTCAGTGTAGAGTCTGGTGGATGCAGTGATACACCTGTGGAGGAGGCAGAGGCCTGGGAGCAGATGGCACAACCTGAGGATCCCCTGGGACGCATTAGAAAAGAAAGTTCCTCCTTCTTGGAGTGCATCTGCTAGAGGAGGCACTGCCTCTCCAGGGACAAAAGAGCCAGCAGGTCTCATTGTGCTGCCCAGTTTCTTAGCATAGGGACAGAGACACCTGCTGAGGGCAGCTAACCTGGATACTGGCTTACTGTTGCACTTTACTCTAAACATCAAGCTCCTGCATGTTGGTGCAACTGCACTTATGGGAAAAACTGACACCAGTCCCAGCATGGCATGACACTCCCTCAGAGAATCAGCATGGGTCCATGCTTAACAGATTCCAAAATTTAGGAGTTTTGAAACTCAGCTGATGTGCCTGAGATAAAACACAGGTGCACTTTGCTGCTGGGCAGGTAGATGGCTGGGACACATAAAGGGTGAATACAGGGATTTGAGAGAAGTCTGGGACACACAAGAAAGTATTTTTTACTCCTCTGTGAGGGCTTCCCAGACATTGGCAAGCACGAACTCCCCACAACGGGGACAAGGGAGAGGACTGGTGCCATTTTTATCCATCCACCCATCAGCATGGACTGACTTCAGGGAGTACCACAGGGCTCACAGCAGAGGCCTGAAGCGTCTACACCAAACCCTATGACCCCCCATACTCTGCAGATGCTTCTTTAGTAGGGCAAGTGTGCCTGAGAACCAACACAGTGGGGCACATCCCCAGAACACCAGCATAAACCCCCCACACCCACCAAGTCTACCGACCACAGAGTACTACAGAGCTTCTGCTCTAATGGAAAGAGGATCATGACTCTCTTAACAAGTAGGCCAGAGCACACCTAGTTAAAACTCACCACATAATGGACAAGAGCCAAACACTCCCTATTTGAGGCAAGGAGAAATTCTGCAAAGGACTGACCTGGGAAAAAGAATAGCCAAAAAACAACAGCAGAGGACACACAGCATACATCAGGAGTAGTTCCTGAAGTGCCAGGCCCTGGAGTATATACGACCTCTCCTTAATAAAGCCATTACTCTCAGGAACAGGACACCTAACAGTCTTTCCTAATGTATAGAGGAAGACAGAGACCTAGACAAAATACCAAAATGGAGGAATTCATCCAAAAAGAAAGACCAAAAAAAGTCACAGTCAGGGATCTACTAGAAACATAAGTAATATGTCTGATTCAGAATTTAATAGAAACATCATAAGGATACTATCTTGGCTTGAGAAAAAGAAGACACCAAGGAGTCACTTACCACAGAGATAAGAGACTAAAAACTAGTCAGGCCAAAATAAAAAATGCTATAACCGAGATGTGAAACCCACTGGATGCAATGATCCATAAGGATGAAAGAAGCAGGGGAACAAGTAAGTGATACGAAGATAAAACTATGGAAAATAATGAAGTTAAAAAGAAGGGAAGAAAAACGTTCAATCATGAATGTAGACTTAGACAGAATCAGCAGAGTCCATAAACCACAATAACATTTGTATAACAGGAGTCTCAGAAGAAGAAGAGAGATAAAATGGGGCAGAAAATTTAACTGAGAAAATAATAGCAGAAAAATTCCCTTATCTGGGAAACAAAACAGACATCCAAATCCAGGAGGCACAGAGAATGCCCATCAAAAACAAAAGCAGGCAAACACCAGATATATCACACTAAAATTTACAAAATATAGAGATAAGGAAAAAATCCTAAAAGCAGCAGGGGAAAATAAATCTGTAACTTACAAGGGAAGATAAATAAGGTTGACAACAAGCTTGTCCACAAAAAGTTGGCAGGCCGTAAGAGTGTGCCATTATATATTCAATATGCTTAATACAAAAAATATGCAGCTAAGAATACTCTATCCATCAAAGCTGTCATTCAGAATAGAAAGAGAGATAGTTTCCCAGGCAAACAAAAACTAAAGGAATTCATGATCACTAAACTAACCCAGCAAGAAATATCAAAGGGGATGCTTTGAGTAGGAAAGACCAAAGGTGACAAAGACTAGAAGAACAGAAAAAATCTCTAAACAACAACATTACAAGTAATGCAATGGCACAAAATGCATATCCATCAAAAATTATTCTGAATTTCAAAGGACTAAATGCTCCAATCAAAAGATACAGGGTATCAGAATTAATTAAAAACATGACATTCTAAAACCTTTGGGAAGCAGTAAAAGCAGCCATGAGAGGGAAATATATATCAGTACAGGCCTACCTCAAGAAGCAAAAAGACTCTCAAATACACAAACTAACCTTACACCTAAAGGAGCTAGAAAAGGAAGAGCAAATAAATCCTAAAGTCAGCTGAAAAAGGAAAATAATAAAGATCAGAACAGAAATAAATAATATAGAAGTTAAAAAATAGAACATATCAATGACACTAGGAGCTGGATCCTTGAAAGAATAAAATTAATAAACCCCTGTTTCGAGGGGGGGTGGGGTTATGGACATTGGGGAGCGTATGTGCTATGGTGAGTGCTGTGAAGTGTGTAAACCTGGCGATTCACAGACCTGTACCCCTGGGGATAAAAATATATTATATGTTTATAAAAAATAAAATTTAATTTAAAAAAAAATTAATAAACCCCTAGTCACAGTTATCAAGAAGAAAAGAGAAAGGAACCAAATAAATAAAATCACAATTGAGAAAGTAGAGATCGCCACCACCACAGAAACACAATTTTAAGAGACTATTATGAAAAATTATATGCTGACAAATTAGAAAATCTGGAAGAAACAGATAAATTTCTAGACACATATAAACCACCAAGACTAAAATAGGAAGAAATAAAAATACTTAAAACGGACTGATAACCAGAGAAGAAATTGAATCAAAAATCAAAAAGCTGGGACGCCTGGGTGGCTCAGTTGGTTGGACGACTGCCTTTGGCTCAGGTCATGATCCTGGAGTCCCAGGATCGAGTCCCGCATCGGGCTCCCAGCTCCACCGGGAGTCTGCTTCTCTCTCTGACCTTCTCCTCGCTCATGCTCTCTCTCACTGTCTCTCTCTCAAATACATAAATAAAATCTTAAAAAAAAAAAAATCAAAAAGCTCCCAGCAAACAAAATACTGGAGGGGGGGGGGGGGTGGCGCGGGGCGCAGATGGCTTCCCAGGGGAATTCTGCCGGATATTTAAAGAAGACTTAATACCTATTCTTCTTAAATTTTTCCAAAAAATAGAAGTAGAAGGAAAATTTCCAAATTCATTCTATGAGGCCAGCACCGCCTCAATTCCAAAACTAGACAAAGACCCCACTAAAAAAGAGAATAAATGGTAACTATTCCTCATGAACATGGATATAAAAATTCTCACCAAAATACTAGCAAATAAAATCCAACAGTACATTAAAAGAATCATTCAACACAATCAAGTAGCATTTATTCCCGAGTTGCAAGGACGGTTTAATATTCACAAATCAATCAACGTGATATACCACATTAATAAAAGAAAGGATAACAACCATATGATCCTCTCAATAGATGCAGAAACAGCAACTGTCAAAGTACAAGATCCATACTTGATAAAAACCCTCAACAAAGTAGAGATAGAGGGAACACATCTCAACATCATAAAGACTATATATGAAGGACCCACAACTAATATCATCCTCAATGGGGAAAAACTAAAAGCTTCTCCTCTAAGTTAAGAAATATGACAGGGATATCCACTCTCATCATTTGTTCAACATAGTGCTACAAGTCCTAGCCTCAGCAATTACATAACAAAAATAAATAAAAGGCATCCAAATTGACAAGGAAGAAGTCAAACTTTCACTCTTCATAGACTACATTTTTAAAGATTTTTTTTTTTATTTGACGGAGAGAGAGATCACAAGTAGGCAGAGAGGCAGGCAGAGAGAGAGGAAGGGAAGCAGGCTCCCCGCTGAGCAGATAGCCCGATGTGGGGCTCGATCCCAGGACTCCGGGATCATGACCTGAGCTGAAGGCAGAGGCTTTAACCCACTGAGCCACCCAGGCGCCCCCATAGACTACATTTTTATTTATGTAGAAAAGCCAAAAGACTGTACCAAAAATTTGCCAGTATGGATATAGGAGTTCAGTAAAACCACCGGAAACAAAACCAATGTACAGAAATGTGTTTCGTATCTGTACATGAATTATGAAGCAACAGAAAGAGATATCAAGAAAATGATCCCATTTACAATTGCACCGAAAGCCACAAGATACCTAAGAATAAACATAACCAAAGAGGCTAAACATCTGTACTCTGAAAACTACAGAATACTTCTGAAAGAAATTGGAAGAAGACACAAAGAAATGGAAAAACATTCCATGTTCACGAATTGGAAGAAGAAATATCATTAAAATGTCTATACTACACAAAGCAATTTACACATTCAATGCAATCCCTATCAAAATGCCATCAGTATTTTTCACAGAGCTAGAAAAAGCAAATTTGTATGGAACCACAAAAGACCCCAAATAGTCAAAACAGTCTTGAAAAAGCAAAGCAAAGATGAAGGCTTCACAATTCCGGACTTCAAACTATATGACAAAACTGTAATTATCAAGATAGTATGATACTGTTACAAAAGCAGGTACATCAATTAATGGAACACAGCAGAAAACCCAGGAATGGACCCATAACTATATGGTCAACGAAACTCTGATAAAACAGGAAAGATTATCCAATGGAAGAAAGTCTCTTCAATAGTGTTGAAGAAACTGGGCAGTATCACGAAAAAAGAATGAAACTGGACCACTTTCAGTCAGAGAAGGAAATGCTATGATTTCACTCATATGTGGAATTTAAGAAACAAAACAGATGTACATAAGGGAAAGAAAACTTAAAAAGAGAGGAAGGCAAACCAAAGAGATACTCTTAACTATGGAGAACAAACTGAAGGTTGCTGGAGGGGTGGTAGGAGGGATGGCCTAAATTGGTGATGGGTATTAAGGAGGACATCGCTTGTGATGAGCACTGGGTGTTATATGTGATGAGTCACTAAATTCTACTGCAAACTAATATTACACTATATGTTAAATAACTAGAATTTAAATAAAAACTTGAAACATACATACATACATACATACATACATTCATAATGGTCACTAAATTCTACTGCAAACTAATATTACACTATATGATAAATAACTAGAATTTAAATAAAAACTTGAAACATACATACATACATACATACATTCATAATGGTGTGCAAAGCAGGAGAGACCATCTCAATGGTGAATATCCATTTACTTCATCCTGCCCATCCCTTACCTCAGTCAGGGCACCAAGCCGAACCAAACAAGCCTGAATACATAGAGTAAATACTGCTTACGTTCATCTATAGAATATATGCCCTTTATTATCTATGTCACTTGAAGTCATTTTAGAAGGCTATATATTATTCCAATTATATTATTACTGTTTCTAAAATTGATATATCTTATTGTCTAGAATTGTCTTCAGAGTTTGTGAAACAATAAAAAAGCATTTTCACTGTTAATAAATACTCATCCTCACAGATTTGACCTTTGGAAATTAAAAAATATCGAACAGATCCAAGTCTGAAGAAAGAGTGGATAATGGAATTGGATAACAATAGTGTTTGGGTCAAACATGAAATGCTAACTAATTCTTATATTCCTCTCTACCTGAGTACCTGAAAAATGTTCCACAGAGATTAGTCCAAATTGTTTCTAATCTTTAAAAATTTCAAACCCACCCCAGATCCTTCACAGTTAGTGAATGACCATATTTCCTGGGTCACTAAGAAGACAGAGCTTTTTCAACAGCACTATACTATTCAGTTAAGACTTATTCTGTATTTCCACCTATCCTCCCAATGTTAGATTCTCCTCTGTGCTTTTTAAGCATGATACAAACTGTACAGCTTTCCTCTATAAATCATTTATTATTTCCAAATTACATTTGGAAAGAGGCACGCAAATGTTTCTGTTTGTAATTTAATGTGATCTTAATCTATAAACCCATAGACTAGGAATCACAGAAGCATGAGATATGCAGGTTGGAAGACTTCTTACAAGGCCACTAAACATACCTCTTCTTTTTATGATGATAAAATTAAGTTCCAAACAGAGTAAGTTGCTTACTTAAAGTCATAGCTAATTTGTGGAAAAGCTAAGAACAGATCTTACAACTACTGCTTCTCATTCTAGCCCCTCTCAACTTTCTTTTTTTTTTTTTAAACTACTCTATATAGCCTCTTAAAATCACCCAGAATAAGAGGCATGCAGATAGCCACTGGGAGACCATAAATGTTTTCATTCTAAATGTTGGTGATGAGAATAAAGCACTAAACACTGAAATGCTTTTTTTTTTAATTATTTCAGGACTCCATTTCCCATAATACATGCTTATGGAAAATTTTAACAGACAGATCAACACAATCTGCTCCAGTCTTGTGTTGTCTAATCAAAGTACCAGTGAAAAATTAAGGAGACCCTAAGATTTTTGAAGGGAATTTTAAATGTGCTACTGAAAACAAGAACATCACAAATATAAAGGTCTATTAAAATGACAACTTCACACAAACATTTTATGCTCAGGCTCTGAAAATCTAATCTAGTAACTGAAAGAGCAAAGGCATTTCTTCAGACGCCCTGAAGTACTTCAAAAATACTCCATAATTTCTAGAGTGATAGCAAAAATGATTATCTAATCTCCAAGGTAAGTCATAACTTTGAAGAGACAGCAATATGCAAGTACTTTATTTTGCTGTCAGAAGGCTGAAAACTGTAGAGTTTTTAGACTTGTGCTTCAATCCTTCTCCCCGCACCAACAGGAGAGAAATATTACACTAAAGCTTCATAGGGTTTAGAAAAAAAAATGCAACTTTTGGTAGAAACTAGTACAACTGTAGTTATGCTTTCATGAAAGAAGGAAAACCCAACCTGAAATCCAAATAAAATTAAGATAGCCATAAAACCTGTATTTATAAAAGGCATTAACGTACAAAGAAACGGGAACCTCAAATTCCACCAAGCCTACATGAAGTAGCAGAATCATTTAAAAGTGGTAATTAGAAATCTAAGCAGAGAAACACAGAGAAAAAAACACTGTGTCATTCTGTTGCTATTTAATAACACTGTCTTTAAATAGCAGGATACTTTAGGCTAGCTAAAAATCTAACAGTTCTCTAAGGGAGCCACATATTGTAAGCGAGAACTGCAAGAAAGCAATGAGGGGAACATATTCTGGTTGATTGCTACAAACTATATCCTCCCAATAAACTATTTTTATTTCATTTAACACGCTGGTAGAATATAGCTAGTATTTTTCTTCCAAAATAAAGATGAGGAGGGAACAATAGCAACTTTATCTTATCAGGAATGAAATCAATATTCTGTGATTATGTTTTAATCCAGAAACATGAAGTACTATATAAATGAAATAACATTTATAAAGCCTCACATAAAGAAGATAAAATAGTTATTGTGACTAAGTTTTTGGTTTAATGATCATGGTTAACATAAGTCTTACCTTCTTTGAAAATTCCACTGCTTTTTGTTCACTTTCTTCAACTTTTGCCTTGTTCACACAAGAATCTATTAAGATTGACAAAAATGATTAGAAATTATTGCATCAGATCTCTGGGCAAAAAGATGGTTGCCAGCCTATAATTCTACTATGCAGTCAATCATTTTTATGTCAATTGCTATTAAAGGCAAATCGACCCTACTACAAATAAAATATAAACTACCACAATTTTCTTGCATGATAAATTAAATTCAATGATAGTATTGTTGAGTCACAAAACCACACATCCAAGAATGTATTTGACTAAATCTTCATCATTTTAGAGGTATTCAATTATTTCCCAACTTTTATAATAATATAACTCTTTAAATTTTTTTCATTTTACTACAAGTGGAGAGGAAACAAAGAATGTATTCTTAAGATTATTAAGACTCAAAATGACCTTTAAGATAAGGCTAGAATGGGAGACACATAGCATTCATTAATTCAGGTTTTCTACAGAAAAATTTCACTTAGATTAACTTCTGATCTGGGGCAGAACGTATTAGGTAAATAAGGAAATAAACATTAAATCTCTCAGCTCTAATCAAATATTCCAGAATATAAATAACTGAAGAACCTCTTTTCGGCAATATTCTCATTATTACATATACAAGTCTATTATGTATCTAGCCATCCCATACCTATTTATTTATCTAAAAGAAATGAAAGCATATGTCTATAGCTGTGTATATGAATATTCATGACAGCTTTATATAACAGCCAAAAACTAGAAAGAACCCAAATGTCCATCAACAAGTAAATGTATATACAAATTGCAGTATATCCATATACTACAATATTACTCAGTTATAAAAAGGAATGAGCTATTGATACATGCAATATAACATGAATGAAACTCAAAATAATTATATGAAAGAAGCCAGACAAAAAGAGAGTACATCCTATATGCTTCTAGTTACATAAAATTTTAGAAAAAAAAACTAATCTATAGTAAGAGTAAAAAGATCAGTGGTTATCTCAGGATGGGGCCAGGCAGAGAGGCATAGGAAGGACAGATTACAAAGGAGAAAACAGAAACTTGAGAGAGTGAGAGAGATGTTTATTATCTTGGCTGTGATGACGGTTTTAAGTAGACATACAAATACTGAAATCTATCAAATTATGTTCTTAATGATGGATAGTTTTTCTCACGTCAAGTACACCTCAATAAAGTTTTGTTTTGTTTTGTTTTTTAAAGAACTGTGTGTAAAGACCTAAGGTTGAAATTGGTAAATGATGAGACAAAGGGGGCAGATCACTGCTGTGCTGTCAATGGTTGATAATGATATTGATTTAAATTTCAGTGGGAAGGTACTGAGAGTTTTGGGCAAGAATTTGATAGAATTTATGAAAAATACTACACTTACAGAATCGTGAAGACACTCCATGTTGCTCAAGACCAGTTGACTTTAAAATCAGGATCCATCAATTTCCTGTAAGTTCTTGAAGCACCAGCTAATTTTTGCATTTATGCATGTGCGTGTGGCTCTAATCAAAGTTCCACAGCATTCATCCAAAAAAATCCTCTGACCATAAAATATTATGAACTATGCATATATTTGACTTATCTGAATTTAGTTGATAACACTGAAGAAGAGAAGTGATTTGTTCACTATCAAAGATGACACATGGATGAGGAAATAGTGGGTTTCTGAAGCTCTATTCTCTTTCACTTGATGCCTTCATCTCACTGTTGAGCGAGGGGAGGGACAGACCCCATAGCTAACAGTACACAACTGTATGTACCTGGCACACAATACAAAAAACAAACGTCTATTGAACACTGAAAGAGCTAGTCAAAATCAGTAGAGTATGTGTGTCATGTATGGTCCATAAGAGATTATAAACCAATACAAGTATTTGGAAATATTCTCTTATAACACTCTCAACAAAATATGAAACGAACTGCTGATTTTATCAAGTTTATTATCAAATATGCAATAAAGCCAGCATTTACATTAATTCTTAGGGAGGGTAAATTGATGCACACTTTCTGAAAAGCATATAGCCTTTCAAAGTTCTTATCCTCAACTGTAAGAATCAATCCTAAGAAAATGACAAGAAAAAGGCAAACATTTATACAAAGAATGTTCACAGCAGATTCATTTATAATTGCAAAAACCTGAAAACAATCTAGATGTACAATAAAAAAGGACTGGTCAAGATGATTATGATATTCCATTAAATGTAATATTATACAGACATTCAAAGTCACATTTTGAAGGTTAACATGAAAAAATTCTTATAATAAAGAACTCTATGAAAAATCAGCCTATGGATAGACAAATTTAAAAAAGAGATATAAGATAATGTACTTAGCCAAAAAGTGAGTAAAGGTGATGGAATGTGTACTGAGCTGAAAAGTGAGATGGGTGGTTTATTGTGTCATTTACATAAGCCTCTAGATTGCCTAGAATAAATGAGCACTGGTTTTAAAATCAGAAAATAATATATAATAATAATAAGGAATTCATCCTCGAAGATTACTGTGAGTCTGCCTTGTGCTATGGAGTGAAGAATAATATATAATTGGCATTCCACAGCTGTTGTTTTCTTCCTTTAAAGACAAGACAAATGAGTTCATGCCTAAATCTTAGCAATAGTGATTCTGATTACTTATAGAAAATGTTTAAAAGTAATGTCATATAACAGCATTTCACAAGAGAGGTTTCACATCATCTTTCAGAGATTGTTCCAGAAAGTACAGCCAACTAATAGTCTAGGATGATATAAGTTCATTTCCTGAGTGATCCAAGTAGATGAACATGATCACCTTAAATCCCTTCCTAGCTTTAAGGTCTAAGAAAATATAAATTGATATTCTTTGATAGAAATAAAAAGTCTTAAGTTACTGCAGTAAGCCTGTATTTCCTTTCTAAAACTTGAACATTAATACCTATTGCACAAGTGATTTCTATAAAACCACTGAGGTGCAAATATAAACTGAATCAAAGGATTTCAGAATCATGTTTCTAAAAAGCAAAACATTCATCTGTAATGATATGTCTTTCCTGTGTGGGGGGCACTGATTTTAAACAGAATGCAAGAGCATCAAAACTTATCAACTAGCTTAATATTTTCAATCACACAGGCAGAACTCTCATGATCAACGTAATTAACAATAATAGTGACTGAGTACTCACAGACACAAGGACTTACCAGATATTAATAAAGGAAGTTCAATGACAGCACTACCCTCAAAAAGTGACTATTATACAGAAGAGAATGAAACACAAAGGACATTGAGGATAATATTACATACCTATCAGATGCGTGAAATCAACATCTAATCTTTGCCTATACTTGAAATCCGGGTCCATACCACTGCAGTGCAGCACTATCTGTGAAACGCACTCCTCAATTATTTTGTAATACTGTGGCCTAAAAGAGAGAAAGTATTCTTGAATATCTTTTCTACCTATATAAGTCAATCTTCTTCAGTGGTTCAAGGGCACCTGGGTGGCTCAGCTGGTTAAACATCTGACACTTGATTTCCACTCAGGTCATGATCTCAGGGTCATGAAATTAAGCCCCACCCGTCACGATGGGGCTCCATGCTCAGTGCAGAGTCTGCTTAAGAGTCTCTCCTACTCCATCTATCCATCCCCTTGCTCATGTGGTCTCTCCCTCTCTCTTTCACGTAAATAAATAGACAAACTCTTCAAAAGAGTAGTTCAGCATGATAAAAGAACTATGTCTTTTTCTAGTACTGTTAGAAGAAATCTTTCTAGCCATTACAATTCCTTAAAAGAAAAATGCCTAAATTTAACAACGGTCTAGACATTATAGTATAAAACCCATCGTGATATAATCAACTGTGAACACTTAGTGACTTATTACTGTAGTCTGTAGAAATTCACATTTGTGCTCAAAGATAGTTACCAACCTTATCTACTTACTTAAGTTATTGTTACTACAGTTAATGAAAATAAATGACCTGTTAGTCCTATATCCATGGATACAGAAACAGTTCTAAGACTCCACAAGTTTTCAGTTTCAGTAAGGGATGAGTATCTTGGCATTAGGTGGCAAGGTCTTAAATTTACTAAAACATTTTCACTCAAGATTAGCTATAACAGCTTACAAAACTGGACTGAACCATAATATTCCAAAAATCTATTCATACACATTTTTAAAATATCCACTCTATAGAAGCATACGCACTTATATGCATGGCCATAGCCTGAATTTGTTCAAACTGTCAAAAGTTTTTAAACACGTCCTAATTTTGTAATCTATCAAGATAATTCTCGCCTTAAAAAATAACTACTTATTTTTGGAGCATAACAGATAACACGGAGGACATGGGGAGATGGAGAGGAGAAGGGAGTTGAGGGAAACTGGAGGAGGAGATGAACCATGAGAGACCTTGGACTCTGAGAAACAATCTAAGGGTTATGGAGGGGAGGGGGGTTGGGGGTTGGGTGAGCCTGGTAGTGGGTATTATGGAAAGCATGTATTGCATGGAGCACTGAGTGTGTTGCATAAACAATGAATTCTGGAACACTGAAAAGAAATTAAAAAATAAATAAATAAATAAATAAATAGAATTCTTTATTTGAAAAACAACACCAACAAAAAAAAAATAACTACTTGCATTCCCACCAACAGTGTAGGAATGCAAGCTGGTGAAACTACACTGGAAAAAAGCACGGAAGTTCCTCAAAAAGTTGAAAATAGAGCTACCCTACAACCCAGCAATTGCACTACTGGGTATTTACCCTAAAGATACAAATGTAGTGATCCGAAGGGACATGTGCACCTGAATGTTTATAGCAGCAATGTCCACAATAGCTAAACTTTGGAAAGAACCTAGATGTCCATCAACAGATGAATGGATAAAGAAGATGTGGTATGTATATATACAATGGAATACTATGCAGCCATCAAAAGAAATGAAATCTTGCCATTTGCGATGACATGGATGGAACTAGAGGGTATTATGCTTAGCGAAATAAGTCCATCAAAGAAAGACAATTATCATATGATCTCCCTGATATGAGGAAGTTGAGAGGCAATGTGGGGGGTTTGGGGGGTAGGAAAGTAATAAATGAAACAAGATGGGATTGGGAGGGAGACACACCATAAGAGACTCTTAATCTCACAAAACAAACTGAAGGTTGCCAGGAGGTAGGAAGAGGATGGTTGGGTTATGGACACTGGAGAAGGTATGTGCTATGGTGATGCTGTGAAGTGTGTAAATCTGGGGATTCACAGACCTGTACCCCTGGGGCATATACATTATATGTTAAGAAAAAATAAAAAATTATAAAAAAATAACTACTTGCATATTTCAAAAGTTTTTAAAAGGTACTTTTTGCATTAAAATTTAGGGAAAATTTAGTAAAATCAACAGAGAGACATCAGAAAGAAATACTAGTACAGATAAATTTTGACATAAACATCCTTAAGATTAGTGTGCTAATAACTAGCCAACCTACTACAAGTTTGCAAAGCCAAACAGAGTCTGATTGCTCTTATATGTCTTTTGTCATGAGGCTGACCTCAAGAGTAAGAATAAACAGCAACATATATTAAGCCATTTTAGGCTTTTTCAAGTCATCAACAGTTTTAGGATAAATAATATTGGATTATAATCAGCCTAGTAAATGACCTTTTGTATAAACAAGGAAAACACAAGTGTTCTCTCTGAGGCCAAATTAATTATCTGTAAGTAAAATTAAAGTAGCTGGTCACACTTCTACCCCACCTTGATGTTCTCAGGATGAAAAAGGTGTCATATTAGAGTAACTTCTTATACTATTCAAGGTTACTGAGAAATGGATGGTTTCATGAAAATTATTTCCCTAGGTAACTGTATTCCCATAGTCACAGTATGCCTTTAATTGCCAGAACTTTAGAAAACATTTTAATTCCCATCTTTTCTGCTTTACAAAAACAGTATACAATATTCTAACCATTTTTCTATGTCTCTGTAACATCATGATGGCCATAAATTATTGTACAAGTCTGAACTATAGTAGTTTTCTATATAACTTTAAAACTGTCATCTTTGTTACAACTATATCTGACCCCTGGTAGCTTGCCTTTACCATTTAATCATTTAATCAAACAAATTTTGAGAAATCAGAGAACCTAGGTTGCCAGAATTTCATGCATATTAGAGTATGAAGAACAACTAAAAGTCTCTTGAATAGTTAAATATAAGATCATGACCACAGCTTATGGATAATTTCAGTCACTCAGAAACCTTTTTCTATCGTTCTGGTTTTCAGATCTATTTGCAGTTACCAGAATCTGAAACTTCTAACGTTACTGATCATCAAAATCATTTATCTTGAAGAATTACATTACTGGATATAAAGCTGAAATATCAGTATTATTTTCTTAACTAAAATCACATCTATTATTAAATAAATACTAGAAAGGAGAAATAAAAGTAAAACCTAACTTATTAAAATGTAAATGAACTTAAAAAATAAAATGAAATAAAATGTACATGAACTTAAAAGTTCCACTACAATCACTTCAGCGCTTATTCTGTGCTATCATTATCTAGCTAAGAAAATTCATCATAAGGTCAGTAAAATCTGTTGGGTTCCTTGCTACAGAATGTCCTGTCATGGGGGTACCTAGTTTTATAAATAAATCCTTGTGGCCGATTTAAAAATAAATTCACACCTTTTAAAAAATGTTATGCAAAGTCATCAAACTCTTATACACTACGTATGTACACATATATGCATACACTACCTAGGATAAACTACATTGTTAGTTTCCCTTAAATACTAAATTCAAATAACACAAATTCTAGTACTCTCAGAACTGCCTCTTACCTGATATAATAATCATTTCTGATGAGCAAAAAATGTTGTAGAATGGATAATAAGTAATTTTCAGCAGCAGTGTCCTTCAACATGTTGTATAGAAGATGATACACTTCATTCATATCAGTGGAAGTAAGTAAAGGAAAAAAATTAAAGCTCTTGATGAAAGTTTCATTCATAACAAAAGCAGCGTCATTTTTTAAAACACTGAAGTACTATTTTGTTTCCCTTACTGTTTCTAAACCTTCAACTCCATGATCCAGTATTTCAAACTTTACATTAATAAATTTAGCCTATTGAATAACTTTAACCTTTTAATGAGAGAAACAACTTAAAGAATATTTCCAAGACGATTTAATCATCAAAACTTTAAGCAATCAGTTACTCATTGCAAATTACAGATGATAACTGGTATGATTGGAACAGCAATGCCATTAGAGAAAACGGTTTCCTCTTGATCATCCTGTGGCTGTGATAGCGGACCTGTATTATTCATGTAAGCCACTACTCCTCTATTTTCACCACCACATAATACTGAATGTAATGAAACATTCTATGGACAGCTAAAATATCACAAACCAGTTTTATTTTATACTGAAAAAATATTTACTAGATGTGAAATTGTTATTGTCTGCATTCATCTCTATTTCATTATTTAGAAAAACGGAAAGTAAAGACAGTAGAACTTGAATCATTTTTCATAGGATACAAGAGACTGAAAAAGTTTAGATGCTTTTAATAAATGAGACAACAAATTTTAAAACTGGATTCACTTTTATAATAAAAGTGAGGACCTGGAAAATCAATGTAAAAGAAAGGTGGAAAAGGAAATATAATCTAACAGTCTAAAAATAACCTGAAATGTCAACATTTTCTCTGAAGTAGAATTAAGTATATGATAGATTATGTCTTAGACCTCATGTAAAAGTGTTGTGTTAAAGTCTCATAAGGTCTTTTAAATGGTTACAGAATGAAAACCAAAATAGCTTTATGGTGAAGTTTGATTATAAGATAAATATATATGGTGAAGTTTGATTATAAGATAAATATATACAAAGCAAGGAAGCAAGAGATATATGAATATAGAAAGCATTTAATATTATGGAAATGACTGTAGACTAGAGTCACTAATGATGGATAAGGAATTACTAGCATTGATCCCTTATAATACTGACATTGTTATCCATTGCACACACATTTATCCAATACTTATGTATAAGATACTTCAATAGAAGCATTGGAGGAAAAAGATGAAACCTAAGACTTCTGCCCTCAATCTCGTAGGAACACAGAAGTGTACATAAATAAGATAGAACGTACTATAGGAGTTTCAAGGTGAGAAATATTCCAGCAGTTTTTTTTGTTTTGTTTTTGGGGGTGTGGCAGTTCAGGGAGGAAGAGGAAGAAAAATTAAAGAAAAATTCCATCTCAAAGTTCATCTTAGTTCTGAAGTATTTCCTAAGCTCCCCAAAAGCTGTAAGTAAGAAATTTACTGAGTGTGAAACAAATAGCCAGAAATGCTGTGATAACCATCTTTTAGATCTAAAATCATTTCACATAAAATCATTGCCATAGGAATATTATACACTAGTTGTATTTGACTCAAATGCTTCTATCAGACAGCCTTGTTATAGTCAGATACTATAATATCCAAACATTTTTTTTTGCTAAGGAACCAAAACTGCTGGATTGAGAATAAGGCATTTATTTGAATTGAATTATATTTCTAAAACCATTTGAGTACATTTCAATAAACTGAAGAAGTATACTACCTATAGTTACATATGAACTCAGCGAACTTTTCCCCTCAAATTCTTATACATGAGGTATATGCCTTAGGTTCTTATCTATTCAAGACTACTGAGCTGAATATATATATAATACAGCAAGTCATTGTGCAGATTTCAATATAGTTTGTGTAAATCATCAGGACACTCTGACAGTTCCTCAACATGAATCTCAAGGACAGCCTCATAGTGAAGTACTAATATAAATAAATGAATAAAAATTGGGCTGGCAGACCAAAATTCTAATAATGGTCCAAAAAATCACCCACAAATCTCTTTTTCACAAAATTTCAAAATTATTTTTGTGGTTTGTCAAAAGGATATTCCATTTCTGCTCGAATATCATTGAGACGGTGTGATAATTCATTTAGGTCATCTTCTTTGTTCTCATCAAATACTTTCAACTGAATATCAAGCTCATCATTCTCTTTCTCCTTTAGATCCTAATATAAACATAAAACTTAACAAATGAGTAACAGTTTGACAATACCATGTTTTGATAATAAAACACAGATACTATTATTCATTTACAAACATAAAAACGATTTTATATTGACCCAGGCACTTTAGTTTTCTGAGAGAAATTAAGTGTACTATGTATTTTCCTATTTTAAAATAAAAGAACCTCATTGTATTAATTGCATTTTTTTCTTATGCCCCAGATTTTGATTATTTACATTAAAAATTAACAATCACTTTTATAAAGGGGGAAAAAATAATTGCTAACAACCCAAACTGAATGTTGTTTTTGACTGAATACACTAATCAAAGATCACAAAAGAACTCATGCAGTTAGAACATTCACATATGCCTCTGGCAAAAAATGTAAATATAGATCAATTGTATTAATGAAGAATAAATGCAAGGATATAATCAAGCACAACAGTCCCAAGTATGGCGTAGAGAGTTATATAAAGAGATTTATTTTAAATGATATTTTGTGATTTTGAAGCAAAAGGCGTCAGGATTTTTTATCAAGCTGCATGACTAGCCTCCTCCCCCACTTTTCATTTTTGCTTAACCGAATCACAAAATACCAACTTGGGCATCAAAGATTTGTTTTTGTAGTACATTATGAGCACATGCATTACAAACCTCTGATAATCTTTAAAATAATAGTATGGACAAAATCTTTGGAAGCATGCCACACTAGAGATTGCTGGGCTTAATATATATCACCTGGAATATCTTTTAATATGTGTCCATTAAGTTGCAGCTTTCAAAACCCAAATCGATAATCCCAACTGTGGATGCTCAAGGGTGATTATGAAAGTGGGACTAGGATTTCAGAGTTGAGCTTGAATTCTAAAAGGAAATGCAAGCATGATGTACTTCAAATTAGGTCAATAAAACAAAACTGGATTCATTTCTTGTGTCTTATTTTTATTCAACAGAACAACTATAAATGGAGATGTAATGGCTATCACTAAAGCCAAATGCATATTTATGCAATTTCTAGATTTTTTCTAACATTCACATAATAGTTTACTGAAAATTTACATATAGAACATATGAAAATACTTACTAGTATGTTTCTATAAAATTTCATATAAAATATATGACAAAAAATGTATTTACACTTAGTTCCCTCTTTAGTAACTTGCTTTAAGTCTAGTTTTCCACTTTTAAATCTATTGGAATGCAAAATTATCTATCATTGGTGGGTATATTATTGGGCGATTTCAGAACTCCAGCTGGACAAGAGCAAAAGCCAGACACACCTAATATGCTGGTAAATGAAGAAGTAACTGTTAACAAATTTTACAATAGGGATTTTTCCTTATTCTTCTAGCATAATATGTTCTTTCTTAGATGCTCACTACAAATCTTGAACACTTTCAGAAAAATCTAATTTAAATATGGCCATTTAATTAGCATCAAAACATTATAAAACATGGAATCAATCTGCATAATTAAAATATTTTCTGTGAAAATAAATGATTAAATGTTTAACTGTTTTTAATTAGGACAACACATTAGTTATACAATATATATAGATACATAGTATGTGAACAAATATAGCACAATATAAAAACACGGACCTATAAATGCAATTGTATATTGTTTATCAATAATCTCCATTATGATAAATATATATGCATAGATACATACACATATATAAAGCTAACTTTAGTCAAATATCAAACCTTGAAAAATGTATCCATAAATTCTTAATGAAATAAACAATTAAGTTTATCTATAGCAAAATATGACATTCTATAAAAGGAAATGGAAATGCATCACTAAGGTTTTATACTTTCAACTGTAGAATATCATAACATTACTGAATTACCGTATTATTAACTACTAATTATGTGAAATATTATAAATATGTTTCAGGGTTTTTTTTTTACAGAATTACTGTATGGATATGAAACACTGTTGGCAGAGTCCCTAAAACATATAATTAAATCTCTATAATACAGTGTACTTCAAAGGAAATTCCATTACTAGTATATGACTGATTACCAATCAAGAAATCCAAATTGAGTTTCAACAGAATAAGAAAAGTTTGTTGGTATTTTAAAATAAAGATGCCTGCTGCCTACAGACATAATTTCTTACTTTCCTGTTCCTTCACATATCTAATTTACCTCATACTTTCTACATTTATTTCATCAAATAAAAGGCAGTTGGAGATGAATACTGTTACGCTGAAAAGAAAAAAAAATTTTTAAAAAAAAGGCAGTTGGAGAAAACTTCACAAGAAATCAATGTGAGTTAACTATAGAGCAAATACTAGTTTAAAAATCACTGTATAGTATGTAACAACTCACTAATCCCAAATAACTAAAGCATATTTATGAAAAGAATTTGCTCTTTTTGAAAAGAATTTTCCATATAAATCAAGTATAAATTCCCTTTAAACATCATAATTTATCAATAGAGATGGGGGAATTGAGAAAATAAATTTTTACAGAGTATAATTAAAATAATCATCCTTGTCTTGAGGATTCTTATTGCTGGAAATCAGAGACTCTGAGAAACAAACTGAGGGCTTTGGAGGGGAGGGAGGTGAGGGACTGGGTGAACCTGGTGGTGGGTATTATGGAGGGCATGTATTGCATGGAGCACTGGGTGTGGTGCATAAACAATGAATTGTGGAACACTGGAAAAAATTAAATTAATTTTAAAAAAAGAAAAAATGTTCTACGGTACTATATTATTATTATGGTCTTAGGAGTTACTAAAATACTAAGAATGTTTCTTCCCTAACACTTAATGATTCCAAAGAGGTATAATTCTTTTTAAGTTTTTATTCAAATTCTAGTTAGTTAACATACAGTATAATAATAGTTTCAGGTCCACAATATAGTGATTCAACACTTCCATACAACCAGATAGGTCTAATTTTTGATTCATGTATCAACAATTTGTATTAGCCTTAGCCACATCTAATTTGCTGCTTTGAATATTATAGATTCTAGAAAATTAAGCATCACCTCCTGTTAAAGACTCTCTACGAATACATTATTTAGCTTCCATGCATGTGTACAGATGCTTAATGCTACCTAAATTCCAGTGGTTTAAACTTAAGTATTTAGTAAATTAAATAGTGATTTCATTAGATAATAACTGACATGCCAGGTATATCTAATATACATTAAAAGCAAAATAAAACTATAAGAACAACATCAGTTGTGAAATCTATGGTATTAAAAAATCTCTAACTCTTCTGGGTCTATCTGCCTGAATTCTGATTCTCATCTTATATATAAGAAGTACCTGGGGAGGATTTGTTTTCTTTTCAAACCGAACATCTCTGCCTTACCCTCAATAAGATTTTGATATATTCTCTTTAGGGGCACATGTCCGACCTCTTTAGTTGAGAACCAGGGCTATACGTAACCATATTTTGCTCCACTGTCTTAGGGAGAAAAAAAACTGAGAATCCTTGTAGGTTCTATTCCAAAATTTTAGAAGGCAGACACAACACACTTCCTACTTTTATCTTGCTGGGGAATCACTGAGATCTGGGAATCAGGTCATATTGAAGAGATATGACAGTGAAAGAAAAATCTAACTGGATACATATATGAAGAATGCATTTATTAAGAAGTACTTGGTGCCACAAGAGGCTTCATATACAGCTATGGTGCCAATGGAAAAGTGTAGCTTAGAAAAACAGATGCAAAATCTTCATTGTCAGTGCAATCAAATATACCATGAGTCCACTGAACCCAGTAAAGATGAATAAAGAAGAAAAGTTAAAGGTAAGAACAAGAGCTACCATTCATTCTCTTTCTGAGAAGAGGACAACTCAAATAAATTAAAATGAGAGTAACAGTATTTCTGATCAAACATTCAGTTGTATAAGGCAGAAAATGAATATCCAATTATAAACAGACACAGGGAAATAAAAGATGAAAGAGTAACAGCACAATATGTGGCATATTAGTAAATGAACAGAGGATGCTAAGAAGCCCCTGTATTCAGCAAGTGTCCAAAGACATTGATATTCTCCCAGAAAATGAGGACCACCCCAGTAAGAACAAGCATGGAAACCAATGAGTAGGCAATTCAAAAGCCACACTAGAATCAAGATTGTAACATTATGTGTAGCTACCTAAGGCCACAGACTTTTCATGAGCAAAGATTTGTGACAACACAAGAATAAATGTGTTACACACACCGTAATTAGTGGATGTGCCTAGTTAATTGCATACTGAACCTTCATATGGGTCACTTAAAATATTGCTTTGATTCACTGAAACCAATTCCCTGTTTTTTAAAGTCATGTATTAAAGTACCACTACAAGTATAATTGACACAAAACTTTCTAAAACCAGATAGATCAAATCATACATCTTATCAAAGTGGGTTTCAGTAGATCCACTGTAGGATACATTTTATGATGATGAGTTTCAACTACTTTCAGTTAAGACTATCAGAACACAAGTTACAGATGCATGATACAATCTCATTCTCACCAGGAAATTTTCCCTGATTTTGGTATTTCTAGTACTCTAAGTATTATAAACGTGCTCATTTGACATTTTTGTTTTCTTTTTTATTTCCTTTTGCGTCTTTTTTCTTAGGTGTTCCCTGAGTAGCTTAAATGAAGAGACTAAACTTTGCATGTCTCTTAACAATGTCATGGTTTTAAACAAAATCCCTCTTCATTAACATACTAAATAAAATACAAAGTCACTTTAGCTATATTTGTGTTTATAAAATAAGTGTCCTCATTTATCTCAGATCAAGCCTATAAAGTTATTTCAAAATGTTTTAGCAGTATCATAATTAGAGCATATATACACATACAATTTAAGAAATAAAACTTTTAAAAAAACAAATAAATAAAACTTTTTAGAAAAGTCTCTATAGCATTGTAACAAGAATACCATGCCTAAATATCTAGAATATACTGGTCAAAATTCTATAAATACTTATGCTGAATATAAATGATACCAGTCTAAGTTATCAAAGAGGAAAGCAAAAACTTTTAAATGAAAATTGAAGCTGCAGAAAAACAAAAAGCAGTAGTCTTTTATGTTCTCAGTATTCAAATTCAAAGAAAAGAAATTCCCTTTCAACTTTAAGAAAACAAACAAAATAAAAAACAAAAACTAATAGAACAGCCACATCACTTGAGGACACATTAGCTAAATTCTGATTCAACAGTTGTATATAAAGACTGATACTACTGTAAAATAGAATAGCTTACAAAATGTCTAATGCTGTACAAAGAATATATAGCAAGGAACATTTATCTACTCTGTCGCAAGTATTTTGTCTAAAGAGAGAAAAATGTTAAAAAGTTCATCAGGAAACTTAATGTGCACACTCAACTTACTGGTAACATTGTTTTTAGTCCTGAACGTAGGAATTCATTCCTTAAATGTATTCTAAAATCAAGCTCATAAGGTGAAGTGACAAGGGCATTTATAAACTGCATGCAGGCCACCTGCAATTTAGAAAGCAAAATTTGTTAAAAATTATTTTAAGTAATGAAATATTTACTTAGTGCATTCAGATCATTGCTTTTCTATTCACTAAAAACATACACACATATACAATAAAATATTAGAAGAAATGTATTTATACAAGCATAAGGATGATTATGACGTTACAGAATAAACAACAAAAGTCACTTTCTAATGCCCAGAATAATTCTAATGGTGTTATGATGGATGGTCAAGTATTGGTATGATTTGTTAAACAATATGAAGGAATATTAAACTCTGAAAAACTCAAAGTTCGAAAGATCTGCATATAGAGCCCTTTAAAAATATCATGAAATGGGTCTTTCCTATTCAACTGTCCTCAGAATACACTTGGCCTCAATTCCGTATGATTATAAACACTTTTCTAAAATAAATCAAAACAAGTACCCTGATACTAAACAGAGAACAGTGAAAACTTAGAGAAATTATTATACTAATTTATACTGTCTCCCTCCTATTATTGAGATGGACTTGCAAAAAATATAGAGTACTAAAATATATGATTAAGATGAATTAATTTACCAAGTATAAAAATGAGTGCACGTGAATTAAGATCAACTAGAAGGCACTGTGACACCAATGCTAATGTACATTGCATGACAAAATGAAGATAAGGGCTTGTTTTCAAGTGAAGGTGATTCATTAATTACATTGACACTGTCAGAAAGGTTTGGTTTTTCTTACCTTCTGATACTCAGTTTCCCTATTATAAAAGGGGACTTATTTTCTGGTAATTGCAAGCTAAAAGGGAATCAACAAAATACTAACTGCCAGGTGATCCATACATTATTCCTGATAGTATTTTTGGGAAATGCTACTCAAGTCTAAGACAACTACCTAATAATTAACTGAGGAGCTGGACATAAAATTGATTATTCTTAAAAGTATGCAATAAAAAAAAGTAAGCAATGAGCGAACTGTACAATGTTCCAAGAGCTAACTCTGAGGGGACTCCTGAAAATGCCAGATTTAGTAAAGATAGAAGGAGACACAAAAAATCAAAAGTTAGTATGAGAAAAACATCAGCAAAAGAAAATATTTCAAATGTATTTTCACTTGACTTGTCCAGACCTATCATTATAATATATTTTTCAAGTAGAAAGAAAAGATTAAAAGGTATATTTCTTTTTTATATATCTATTATCTTATGAATATCTTATGCATCCAAGCAGCCTTTAGGGAGACTTGTCCATCTACCTCATATTCAGGCTCAAAAATCAAAAGTTGCATGCTTTAAAAGTGATGACTAAAGTTGTTTCTAACATTACTAGATATCTAAAACACAATTCAACAATGTAGTCCAATGCCTATGAATGCTTAAATGTCAATACAAAACACTAAGACTACTGATTAAATACTTGCCAAAATCAGGTATTATCTTTTTTAAGACTGTTTTTTGTTTTTTTTTTTTTTTTAAGATTTTATTTATTTATTTGACAGAGAGACAGAGATCACAAGTAGGCAGAGAGGCAGGCAGAGAGACAGGGGTAAGCAGGCTCTCCGCTGAGCAGAGAGCTCAATACAGGGCTTAATCCCAGGACCCTGAGATCATGACCTGAGCCGAAGGCAGAGGCTTTAACCCACTGAGCCACCCAGGCACCCCAAAACCAGGTATTATCTTAAAAGACATTTCAGATAAGTTACTATGACACTTATACCTTAATGGATCACTTAACCATTCTATTTACAGCAATAAAATACCTAAGTCTTTTTAGTTTCCATAGGCTGGGATATAAGCTTATATACTGTACATGTCCAGAGCTATATTATCGTCCCATTTGCTTGAACGATCCTTGTTCAACGTTACAACTATGACATGACCAAACAAGCCAAAGCACATGTCCAATCCAAAATTAATAGAGAGAAAAGTTGCCATCTGCCAGGACTGTTTTTGCCAGAAGATATTCTAGATTAATGGCTTGTATTAATACGCTACAAGAGAACATTTCCATAAGAAACAAGTTAATGAATCTTAGAATTGTACCTTTATACAAAGTATTTAGATTAAAAGATGATATAGTAAGTTAATAAAATTAATGAATGTATCAACATCAAAATGACTTTACATTTAATACGAAATGTTGCAATGCTATTACTTACTTTACATATGATGTATAAATATATAACTGAATGCTAAAAAAAGTTGGGATACACTTTGAAGCCAGTAATTTAAACAGGTAATGGCACTGGTTTATCAACGTACTATTTATTGTTTATCAAATTCTAACAGATATCTAATTAATTACAAATAAGATAAGCAGAATATTTATACCATCATGTCATTTTCCAACATTTTCTCCTATAGTGATACTCCTTTTGTTATAAAGATTTTATTTATATATTTGAGAGAGAGCGAGACAGAGAACACAAGTGGAGGGGTTGGGGGGGTACAGAGGAAGAGGGAGAAGTAGACTCCCAGCTGAGCAGGGAGCCCAACCCAGGGCTTGATCCCAGGACCGTGGGATCATGACCTGAGCAAAAGGCAGATGCCCAACCAACGGAGCCACCCAGGTGCCCCTAAAGTGATACTCTTTTATAGAAATATTTATATTATATTTTAATGTGGAGAACAAAACAAAATCTTAATTATCTCCATTCCTTCATGCTACCACATAATCATTGTCCTTTTTAGAGGACAGAAATAAAATCAATTCAAAACCAAAATAATTGTCATTTACAAATACAAAATTAAATTTTAAAAATATAATTAGTTTCAATGTCAGAATATATCATTACTAAATTACAAACACTAAATACCCATTATGTAGAATCTGTATTCATAGTTAAATACAGAACCCCAAACTATTTTCTTCATCATCATCATTATTATTATACAAACAGTATTAGAGGCTTTATATAATTCACCATCTAGTCTCATCCTCATAAAAACCATACAAAGTCAGTATTACTATTATCCTTATTTCACAGATGATGAAGCTGAGGCTCAAAGCAGGTAACTTATACATGATCACACAGTAAGGGGGAAACTCATGATTCTCAACCATATCGTTTTACTCCAAATACAGAATAATTAAGTAGTATAAACCAGATGGCTCATTAACTCCATTCATAGATTCACATGACAAAAGATTTTAAGGATAGGTAAGATAAGAAAATTTAACTATTGCATCCTGTTTAATACACTAGAAATATCCAGTTTTGAAACTGTAAGTTAATTAGAAAAATAGTCAACTAGTTTTTTAAAGATTTTATTTATTTATTTGAGAGAGAGCGTGAGTGAGAGAGAGAGAGACAGAAGGAGCAGGCAGAGGGGGAGAGGAAGAAGCAAACTCCCTGATGAGCAAGGAGATCATCCAGGGCTTTGATCTTGGGTCTGGAGGCAGACACTTAACAGACTGAGCCACGCAGGCAGCCCAGCATACAATTATTTTAACAATATACTGTCTAGTATATAAAATGGTTATTGTATATGTCATTTATATCTCTATTAAAAAGACAAAGTGGTTATCAAAATTCATAATGAAATGCAAAAAGACAAAAAAACAAAAAACAAAACAAAAAAACAGGAAAGGTAGAAAACAGTTCCTGAAATGTGTTACATTCCATTTCATGAAGTATGGGCAGCATCCTATTATCCAGAATAATGGTCTCTCACTCTCCTTTACTTCCTGCCACCCCACTCCCTATTCAGCATACATATGCATGCAAATACACACACACACACACACACACACACACACACACACACACACACTAGAGCTACGTTGTTCAATCCAGAGCCACTAGTCACAATGTAAATTTAGCTTAATTACAACTACTAACAGGAAAAATTCAGTTGCTCAGTCGCACTATCAACAGTTGAAGTGTTCCACAGCCACATGTGTCTACTGGCTACCATACTGGACACCACAAATACAGGATACTGCAGAAAGTTTGATTGGATAGCACTGCACTGGAGACTTTAATGAGTAAGTCTTCTGGCCTAATATCTAAAACCTAGGCTCCAAAGAAGTACAAAACTCATTCCCAAATAATGAAGTCTCGAAAATTGGTAAGTTCAACTTCCAAGTATATATATCTTTAAAATTATTACTGTCTGCTTACAATGAAAACTCAGTTTGCTTTCAAAGAAAAAGAAAATCTAACCCCAGATATAGAAAACAAAGAATCGGGGCGCCTGGGTGGCTCAGTGGGTTAAAGCCTCTGCCTTCAGCTTAGGTCATGATCCCAAGGTTCTGGGATCCAGCCCCGCATCAGGCTCTCTGCTTGGTGGGGAGCCTGCTTCCTCCTCTCTCTCTGCCTGCCTCTCTGCCTACTTGTGATCTCTGTCAAATAAATAAATAAAATCTTAAAAAAAAAGAAAAGAAAAAAAATGAAGAATCATGTGATTTTAAAGCAGAGTACTACTCAAAAATACTAAATACTCTGGTTCGATGTGCTTTTAAAGGTAAAGAAACTGAAAACCTAGAAAGATTAGTTGATTTGCCCAGGATCATATAGCTAATAATAATCCATAAAGATAAGACTAGAACTTGTATCTCATGACTTTTAGTTTTGGATTCTTTCTACGACACTACAATGTACAAATCTGGCATTACTGAATAACATTTTTCCTTGTACTGGAAATAAAACAAGTGCCCTTGAATTGAATATCACGAAGTCCACTATCCAGATTCTTTTTCTTGCTTAGTTTCTTTGTAATAGCTTTAAGTTTCAAAATGGTCTGCCAAACTTGTTTTAAATAAAGCTTCCATGAGAATTAAAATTTAAAATTCATAGTAAGTCAGTTACTTTTCTCCATTATTAATAAATACGGTAGCTAGGACCAAAATTTTGATTTCTAATCCCTAAAAATAGTAAGTTTTTTTATTTGCATTACAATGATCTCCATTTCTACATGATTAATCATCTACATTCTTTAGTCACAGGATGTTATTGTCCTCATCCTGGGGTATGGGATGTGATGCACAGTGTGAAGTATCACAAAAGAGACTATAAA